CTCTGTTTGCTGTCGTATTTATACATGCAACCAATCCACGATAATTTATTTTGAACACTCTTTACCATCCAGTATCTTTTAGGGTACATGTGGACAGCGAGATTTCTTGTGTAAAAAGCTTATTTGACTACAGTAGTGAAAGCAGAATGGGAAGATAGACCAAGTGGTAGATATGCATCAGATTGAGGGAAAATGGCCATCATTGCAGTTTTCATATGGTGGAGCGGTACAACGTTGAAAGACGGCTGTGTGCGTGGAGATGATAAAAGAACGACAGTATGCAAAGGCATGTACTACTAGTGAAGGGAAGAAGAACTTCGCCTCAGTGTTTATCAGAGAAACATCAACTGAACAGTTACAGACCAATAAGCAGGAGAGCAAAACTCTCAAATGCACCTTGTTTACAAAACTGAATATTTATCTTCTGCTTGAACGCGTCTCCGTAAACTTTCCTGTATATTCATTGACTGTTTACCCAAATGCAAGCAAATGCTACAAAGCGACTCCACAAATTCCGTAAAAGACATCATTCAAGAGACTCGAAGCGGATTCACGAAGAAACACATACCTCATCAGTAGTATCCACCGTCACACTAGGAGGGCGATAGCAATGGAGCGGTCGGTGGTTTCAAGAGATTCATACGGATTTTGAGATAACCAAATCAGGAATGTTGATACGCATAAGATCAAGCTGGATCACACTCTTCTTTGGTCAACATAAATCAGGAATCATCATAAACCAAGAATCGGATGAATACATAGTTAGAATCTTACCCTATTTTCTTCACCTATTAGGATAGAAAGATTATCAATGATTGTAGACACAAAAGTGAAAAGAAACTGATTCCGTGCTTTAGTCCATTTTTCACTGGAACCTGGAGACAATTTGAAAAACAAAATTTTGCGAGAGTGAGATGAAAATCTGGGATTAGAGGAAACAGATAGGGGGGTCAGCATCATCAGTGAAACGTTTCTAACCGATTTGAGTAGGTGGGATTTAGGCCTATCGTGGTGGAAAAACCAACAAAGAACTGGCCAGGGGCATCCAAATTGGAACAGTGCTGGAGATTTTCTAGTATGCAACGTTCCCGTTGTTGATGCCTCTATTCCTGCAGTGTTTTATGATACATACATACATACATACATATGGCCCACATACACCTTGTATGTGTGAAGTTGAACGGGAGGTTGAACTGCTCTGACAAGAACACAAGACTGGACAACACAACGGTATGTGAATCCCAAACCGACTTAGTATGGCCAGTACATAGTTTCACAGCACTGTCCACCTCAAATTCAAGCGAAATCCCTTTCACTGAAGAAGCAGAAATTTGCACAGAAAATAGCTGAACTGAGGCGGCTAACCTCTTAGATAGTGTGTATTGTCAAAATGTCCCATAAAAAATTGTGGTGGAACATTTCTAGCCAAAATCTCCTAGAGCACACTAAAAGGAAGACGAAAATTGGCCTCCTTCCGAAAATGATGTGTCCCATTTTATTCCGTTTCCTTGATGCGATTGGCGTCTGAGACGCATTTCGGGCGAAGTCATATAGTACAGGTACCAAAGTTTCCAGCATATAGACCTCTCCATACTGCTGAACTAATCTGGCATTCACATTTTCGAGCTCAAGCTCTCTGCACGGAAACTTTCTGCTCAGATATTGTATTTAGTGTGGTTCTACCTGATGTGTAAAGCTCGTACCTGTACCAATTATTGTGATGCAACGTGGGTATATGGTGCCTGTCAGACTTCAATGATATGCGGCCTCAATGAAGTTCTCATCCAAACTCGAGATAACCGGAAATTCCGTGGTTCGAAACCCAAACTATGGATCTTGACTGCTGCTGTCTAGACTTAGGCGGCCTAGTGGTATCTGCGCCCTCGTACTTCGTTCGGGTGGCACGGCAGCTAGACACCGAAAAGTTATTACAACTGAACGATTATTACTACTATTATTGTTATCGTCTCCAATGAATGCGAGCCATTGTTAGCACTTTCACGTGGGAAGTTAAAACGAAAAGACCACACTTTACCATGTCGTTCCACCTTAGCTAATCTGTGCAGACGGCTAGCTCGAGTAAATCTAATCAACTCACACGCTGGCTGAAATGGCATTTGGTCTCGTCTTCCACTATTCGTCACTCAACATGGCACCTGTGTGAAAGTAATTTTTAGCCAGTATGTGCCGTGCCTCGCCATCGTTTCGTTTGCATACCATTTTTAATGGACTGACAAGCCAGACGAAAGTCTACGCACATGCGTTTGTTGTTCCGACTATCTCGACACATCACGTGACTTGGCTTGTTGTCAGGACACACACGTACACACACACACACACACAATGACAGGTATGAATCTTGACCACCTAGTTTACGACTTGGTCCACCACCAAAGTCGTGTCAGTAGTCCGGACAGTTGGGCTACCCTGATTCGTCCGGGGATGTCCACTGGGAAAGGTTGCTACAGTGTCAAGTCTGGGTGACTTAGGCCTTTACTACAGGCACCTAGACAGCACATCAAGGTTAGCGGTGCGATAAACCGTGACCCTTAGAACGTATCCTATGGTTGGCCTGGAGGATTCCGTATGGCGTAGCCTTGTTTTTTGGACTTAGTTGTGGTCCTAAAACTATCTACACACTATGCACACTGAAGCCTAAAGCCTTTTTAAGAAGTAATGGAAAGGTCGCATTCAATTTTCCCGTTTGTGGAAGATAGCTAGCCACACACTGAATGCAGCTGATCCTGAGGTTATCGCCTCGGCAACTGACAGACTTTCGCATAGCATACTTTGGGATAAGAACTACCAAATGGCCCTCCTGTTAGGTTCTGTTCGGTCGACTCTCGAGAGTTGTATTATCTCGCTTTAGGTGTTTGGACACAATGCAATAGGGTTCATTAACCAAATTCAACTCCTCATAAAGCCCATTTTACCATCAGTGTCAGCTGATTCGTACCATAGCACAGAGGAAGTTCACCAAGGTGAATGAATCACATCCTTTTGAATTTCAAAGGAGTGGACCTACTCAAGACACACAAGTAACAGAAATGGTTTAGAAGTAGCTATTACAAACTCTTACAACATACACCCATGCGCAAATTAAGCCGATTTTAAGGGAGTCTCAGCTGTCCCAGCCGATATTTTTCAATTGAATATACTGCACAAAAACGTTTTATGTTTGGTATGATGTACGTTTTAACTTTTTAACAAAACATAAGGTTGACAGCAAATCGGTGAACGTACCTACCTTATGTGTCCCAGGAAGGGCAAGACCGGTCGTGGGCTTTCGAAGAGCCTTCAGCAACCTTAGAAGTAGCGTTTTCCGAGAAAAAACTGTTACCGTATTATTTTCTCTCTCTCTCTCTCTCTCACACACACACACACACACTCTAATATCGATTCTCATGCAGTTATGTACGTAAAGTACCCAGATGCCTACGGCACCATGTATCATTTGACCTGCCCATTGTACAAAGAACTGTCTCCTGGCGCTTCCAAATGAATCAGTTTAACATCCATTCAGTACTACCTTTACTTCCATCATTTCTGCAAACGATAATTGATACAGGCTTTGCAGATTTATAGGCTGAACTCAGTTCGTACATCCAGCTAAGCTGTCCTGACAGGAAAACTCGTTTTCAAGAAGTAAATGATAAGTAATTTCATCCAGCCTGCTGAAGAGCCTCTTATAAGTAGGATGACTGGTTCGTCATTTCAAAAGTTACGAAATACGTAAAGTGTACTTCTCACCGGTACTTCGCTAAAGATTTTCAGGGGCAATCACGAAACTGAAAAACCTCCGTAAACAACCAGTGAGATCTTAAACGATTCAGAACCTCTCAGAAGTCAGATGGGGCCCGAAGCAGGTAGCAGTTAAGTCTTTGGCTTGATAGAGCGGCCCCCTATCATCTGGGTTCAGATGTCAAGTCATCATATTTCCGCTTGGGTTCATTAACACATCTTGTCGGGGCTTCTGAGAGCAAAGCGAAGGTATACAGCACAGGTCGATCCGATTCATCATGTCTCTTAACCCTTACGAAGCTTAGGACACGCGCACCGAAGATGTTTCGACACCTGAGAGACTAACGCCTTCGAATGGTGGCACCAGGGTTGAGGTCTAGTGAATAATCATTCACAAGATCGATCGACACAGGTTTGGTTAGCATATGACCTTGAAGCATTTTTCAGGCATACAATGATCTTTCTTCACAAATTTACTTCCACTTTCTTAAAAGAGGCATATTCTGTCATAGCTTATTTGCCTCGTGTACTTGGCTCTGGTAAAGACGTGCGAACATAGAAAAATACTGGTCAGTTGCACCTATTCGAATATCATAAACTAATGACTCAGTCTCGCCTATTTTCCAATTGATTCCAACTATTCACGTGGGACAGGGTCATATTAATCACGCGCATGGTCCGGAAGGCCATCAACGCACTTTAAGACAGGCAGGCACCGCACAGCAAATACTGCTTACGCGGTTGCTGAATAGAGGCCCGTCATGATATGAACTGCGATTGTATTGTGCATGAACACAAGCCTCAAGAGCTAAATGGATGAGAATTTTATCACGAAGCGAAAAGTTTACTTAAGGTTTTTTTGGGATTAAGCTGTGAGTATCAAGCAGAATTACCTGCGGATTCCATCTAAAAATCACCCTACGATTATAAGACAATGTGGCCATATACCAGATTATTTCATAGTAAGAGAACTCACTCGACTGGGAATACTTTGATCTGCAAAATGAAATGATTCGCCTTTAAGGTTGCCTTTGGCACACAGGGCTACAGATAAACTGTGCACCCTTATGCATACGATTTCGTGACTTTCCAGCAATCGGTTTATTCCAGTTGTTTGCTGGTTAGACTGGTTAGTAAGTACGTTTTTCCAAAACGTGCACTTAATTATTGCCAAGCCATTGAGGCAGGGTACCTGCCGTGAGTTCTATTTCCTTACCTCATCCAGAATAGCGACTCCTCATCACTTTTCTTATTTCTAGATATTTGTAATTTTATTTTCGTTGGGAAGTTAACCCAGAAAACCCAGACTTCAAAGTAATTACCAGTTTGTTATCCGAATATTCTGGATGAACACTGATCAAATGACTCGTACACGTAGCTGAGTGTCTTGTGCTATGCTGCAAGCAAATGGTCAGGGAAAGCAATGCGAATGTGCGTGGATTTACGGTCTCGTAAATGTTCGCAAATTATATATTCAACCTGAATGAAAGAGAAAGGTTTGGCAAAGCGCTTTTCTCAAATCATCGAAAAGACTGAGCTGTGGGTTCGATAAAAAAACTATCCAGAGTGACTTTCATCTACCAACAGTTTTGCCCACTATGCTACTGCCACAGCTTCGGAGTTCACACCAACGGAAATGTCTTGCTTCACCTCAGGCTGAGGCATCTTAATTGTTGCCGTTTGTTACGGTTCACTACTGTCTACTGGGTTATGAGCTTTGACGCGAGACGAGTGTGAACGCATGCGTTCGGGTATTGATATATGGGAAGCCAGCAGGTTGTTGATGTCCGAAAAACACATACAAAGTGGTGGTAACGGCAAACCCCACCGAGGTATGTCCCAGCCTACACATACATAAGAAAGAAACCACGGAGTTGTGCATTGTGAGCATGTCTCAATGGACAAGAGAACACTCGTTTTCAATGCGGTCAGGTTGAACATGAAATTGATAGTCACTGCTGCTGACAAGTGGATTGGTAAGCTGCTCACTTGAGGTGCACGCGGAAAGGAAGACCAAACGGAACACGCGGTGTGTCTCGGTTTATGAAAAGGGGTCGTTAGACGGACATCCGATTTTGTTATCGTTAAACCAGCTGTCACACGTTTCAGAAAAGATAGCCAAACTAATTCAGCGTCAACCGTGTAGAAGAATGCAATCGATAGCTCGGAATGTGAATGCATACCCAGGCGGCCTTTGAAAGCGGGTGGGAGACGGAGCGAACGGAGATGATGACTAACAAACATCACAATGCGAACCAGACAAGGGTGCGTGCGGTGAGCCAATCCACTAAGCGTGTAAGTCTGACATTTACCTACCCTCTAATTGCGTGTGTGGCTTCGATTTTCTATCGCTTTTAGTCGACAGGACGATTAAAGCGAGGGGTGGAATCAAGCGCTTCATTAACATATATGTTAATGACCCCCGGTATACAACATTTACTTGAAAATGAAAATATCAGTTGGCCTGTCATTCCGCTGCGTCACACCACTGGCCGCACCAGCCCCAGCAGTCGGTCGTCTCCGTTTCCGCAGCAGTTTGGCTCCATTGCATTTCCCCAGTTCCGCTCCTAACATTTTCGCGACCGAGCTAGCGCTGATACCATAAGGATGTCGAGCCACCGGTCCTCCAACGGACCACCTCAGGCCAGACCTCTTGTTGCTCTACTTGACGGACGGGACTGTACAGTTGAAATGCCACTGCTGAAGGATGTCGCTACAGTAGCCTTCTGTGATGCGTCCTCAACCGCTGAGATCCATGGCAAAGTATTAGAGGAAGCTGTCGGCGCTTTGATGTGGCATACTATATCGTTGACACGTGAGGATCTGCAAAAATTCAAGTCCCTGAAGGTTATCGTGCGCATCGGAAGGTAAGTAGGGTTTATCTGGATATCTGCAGGAGTTTGTAAGTCTGTTGCATCCTTATATGTACATGATTTAATATGACCCATTTTTTTTATTGTCAGTGGATATGATAACATTGATATCAAAGCGGCTGGTGAACTGGGAGTCGCCGTTTGCAATGTCCCCGGATTCGGTGTTGAGGAGTCCGCGGACACGACTCTTTGCCATATCCTCACGCTTTACCGCCGGACCTATTGGCTAATTAACAGCCTGCAGAACGGTAAGCGCATCAATGGACCTGAACAACTGAAAGAACTCGCTAGTGGATCAGCGCGTATTCGGCGTGATACGCTGGGCATCGTTGGACTTGGTGAGTTGCACAACTGATTCACTCTGATCCAAGCACTGTTTCAGTTGAAACTACTCCTTTTTTCATGACTTATTTCGTGGACCGGCATAACTTGAGGCTATTAGACGAAAAGCTACAGCGACTCCCATAGGGGCCTCTATGATTCAAGCCTGTCTGTCTCCTTGGTTTGCTGATCCGCGCGAGTATAGAGCTGATAGTTACTTTCACGTTTGCTGAAGATGACTGTGTGCCTTTCTCTGTTCCGTCCGAGCTTGATCGTTACAAAATGTCCTTCGATATTTGCATGTAAATTTATGGAAAACTGAGTGATTGGCGGGAATAGTGTCCACATCGGTTCACTGGTCTACCAGAAACCTTATCTATCCACTAGTCCCAGCGTTTTCTTTACAATTTCAACTGTTGATCTGTGGTCTTAGACTTTCGAGGCATCCTCCCAGTGAACCCCCTTGCGGCATCGTTTTTTTGAATATGTTTACGTTACCAAGAATAGTTTCCTATTTTTTGTATTATCTATGTTATTCTGTCGATCCCAAACGACCTGTCAGTACTTTCTGATCAGCTGTTTCCGGTTTTCCATGAGTGCCATTCTTCTACTTATTAGGTCCATTTAGCGTCTGTCGGATCATCATCATTAGCAGAGTTGACGTGAGCATGTAGCGAGGGTCGTGTGGTAGGCACAACACAGGTAGTGCGTTGAGCCGATGAGCGTGTGCAGAAGAAACTAGTTTGACCCAGACCTCCGGCCGTAAAATGTGCAACGTGTGAGCTCCAACTTGTCGATTGGCCAGGTTCTGGTGTGGGTGTGGTCAGAACGCAGCGGAATCATCGTGGCATTGGTTCTCCGAAGGCAGAGGGCTTCGTGACAATTTTCGTCAGTAGACTAGGGCGGAAAAGCTCGTGAATCGCACCCCAGTAAGCAAGGCAACGCGAATAACCAATACTCACAAGTGTCATTTGTGTAATGCTTTGCAGACATAACTCAGTGCGCACACACCATCCGTTAGTTCAGCTGTTTTGTGCAGTCTGTCATTCAGCCTCAACAGCAACACTGACGTTGGAAACCGGTACTCCTAGACGTGTTGCTTAAGTCAAGTGCAACAGCGGTTGAATTCTGCACCCCGTGGACAAGCGTACAAATGTACGAAAATTTCAAGTGAATGGCACTTACGGAACAGAAAGTAAGATCCTTGTGTGTGGCCCTTTACCAAGTGATTAGGGCTACCCAAAATGCTTGGTCTTGTATTGTCATTTACAGCGCCTTAATGTTACACAGGTACATGTGATCAAACATGCTCAGGTCCAACACAAGTGTACAAATGCTGACCATCCACTCATCCATAGTGCACTTAAAATCTGTTGCATTTTGGGAGCACTATATTCGAACCTCCCCACGACCTTACAATAATTTCATCACACCTAGTGGTGTATGGCTGCACTGCCCTGTCTTCTTTGTTTATCGTTTTCGTCACCGAGACTGAGTTCGAGTTAGCTCACTGGTTAGGTCCGTAGTTCGAATCCAACCTCAATATCTCGACTGCTCCTAGGCTTCCTTTTGGTATCTCTTTGAGTAGTCTGGCAACCGGGCACCGAAAGTTTGTTGGAACTGAACGATTTCTGTTGCTTTTCCTGGCTAAGATTCGCCGAAAGGCGATTCCATGTGTAGAAGTCCTATTGTCAATCTCTTACACTCATGCCGCCGTCGAGGGTAGAGTTTAGAAAAAATCATTCAGCTGTGGAACCCTTTCGATGCCAAGCTACCATGCCATCAGAAGGGTTGGGATACTGCCAGGTTGCCGAAGCCCAGGCAGGGGAAGTCGAGAAGCAGAGGTTGGGTTCGAACCACGGACCTACCGGTCAGTAGATTCGCGCTCAAACTACGGAGCCATCTCACCCCTCGGGTAGAGTTTACATCACTGTACGATCGACATTGCGTCTCATGAAGCCCTGTACTGGGGCGCAGATGCTTCGGGCTCTAACCTCTCGCTCTGAACGAGACTGTCAAAATGAACAAAAGATATGGTTCATTGTGCTTTCGGCAGGGGAAAACGCTGTCTCAGAAGTAGTGAGGAAAGTCGGACATCGCGTTGGACCGAACGTAGTTCAACCGGCACAAGTGAAAATGACTGAGGGCAGTGTAGTATATACATAGTCTGATCAGTGACAGACACTTCCAGGTGGACATGTAATTTGGCGCCGTTTGGCTTGGTCTTGTTGGACTTTCACCTTCTCACATCCCTCCTTTTTGGAAAAAATTAACACCTTCGCTGAGAACACGTCTGAAATAATGTCTGGTGTACAATAGTTGACACGACCCTCAGCAACCTAGTCTGACTCCCCTGCCACGCATCTGGAGCCTACAACTGACGGAGAACCGTGGACGGTGAACGTGGAATCCTCTGAGGCCTCGGAGGCTCATGAGTGCACGTGTTCTCTCAAGTGCCGCCAAGTTTCTGGTCCAGATGATCTCCCACAACATTGTTCAAAGACTCACTCAACACTTGTCCGATTTGCTTTCTCGCATTTAGTAAAAGGAGACTCTCAGACAGCTAGGTATAATGGTTGATAGTGATCATTTATAAAACGGGGCTCGTGATGAGTGTGGTAACCACAGGAAGATCAGTTTGCCCCCCGTCTTAACAAGACTGTTGACGTAACTTGTGCTTCATCACTTTATAAATATAAAATAAAATCGTTCAGCTGTAGCGCCCTTTCGGTGCCTAGCTGCCATGCCACCCGAAGGAAACACGAGGGCTGGGATACTGTCAGGTTGCCCAAGCCTAGACAGGGGAAGTCGAGTGGCGGAGGGCGGGTTCGAACCACGAACCTTCCGGTCAGTAAATTCGCGCTCTAACCACTTGAGCCATCTCGCCCCTCATCATCATCACTTTATGGTGGCTCGTGGGACACTAACTGGATAGCGGCAGCCTGGTAGGTATTGCGTTGAACAAATCTTCACATTCATCAGGTGCTAGAACAAGCCATACGTACAGACGACCGACAATTTTGACATTTCTGGATCAAAGCCATCACGTACTTCGCACTTTGCACCCATGTAGTGTAGGGTCATGCTCGTGGACGTGCAGTCACTGGACACACCACTCGCAATATAGGGAGAGTCACTCGAAGTTGTGGAGCATTTTACGTATATTCTATCATAGTGGGACAGATGGCGTGGCTACACCGGTTTACAAGGCCCGGGTCGCGTTTGCTAATTCGAGATACCTACGACGTCAAAGTGGTATATCCCTGAATATTAAGGGACGTGCTGGCTGTTTTGTTGTATGGCGAGATAGTCTCTTCGAGCAGCGGAACTGAGACCTTTTTAGGTTGTCTCAACCGTAACTCGTGTGGGTTGGTGTTGAGGCGGTTAGAAAACGATTTGTCGGTTGTGCAACGGGGATTTCCATTAAAGAATGTGTCCATCACTAGAAGCTGCGTTGGTTGGGCCATGTATTGCGCATGGCGAAACAGTGTCTGCCGAGGGGAGTGCTGTTATCCGTGCGGAAGCAGATGTGACCATCCCTTCACCTGGTAGAGTGGTGTGTAAGGGATTACAAGAAGTGTGGGTACTGTCGGCGTGACTCGCCTTCCAGATTGCGGTCCGCGTGGTCCACACTGCATCTGTTTGGAGACGCTACAAGATATAGCTGCTAATCATGGTCATTGGACTTGTGGTTGTTGGTTTCTATTCGGACTGCCTAAATGTGTGTCTGGAGGTGCAGGGATCTGCGAGTTTTTCTGGTGCACTAAGCATGTGAATGAAGAAGGGAGATGTCAGCAGTAGCCTGTTCTCACTTACCCGCCCTGTGTATGCAGCAAATAAGGCGACCCGGCTGACGGCACCACGCAGTGGCCTTTGTGGCATGAGCTTCTTTGTATATGTGCAATGCCGTGTTGTCCTTGGGCTGGGATACTGCAAGGGTGCCCACACCTAGACAGGAAGACCAATAGGATAATCAACCAAAGCCTTTGGCTCAAAAGCCTCACCGCAAGGCAGCGGTGTCTGATTGGGAATGCAAGTACATTACCATTTTTACGGAACACGTCGCACATGTTCCAACCACCAAAGTGATGGACCGGAAGATTGCGTTCGCCAGACCTGGGGGTGAGATGGCTCAATGGTTGCAGCGAGTATTACTGAGTATTACTGTTTCGCATCCGATCTCTGCATCCCGTCTTCTTTCTAAGCTTGGGCAACTTAGCAGTATCCGAACCTTTTCTGCTTCGGGTGGCATGGCAGTTGGGCACCGATAGGGTGTTACAGCTGAAGTTTTTCCTAATTATTGACCAATCCAGGTCCTGAGTTACTAGCATCGGGCGTGGTCCCGCAAATAAAACGTGCTATGCATTGCCTAGTGAGTCAGGTATGTGAAATGAAGACTACGATCCATGTACCATAATAAACTTCTGCACTATCTCATTGCATTGTGGGTCAAAGGCCCAAGGCAAGGTACCTCGAACAAGCATTCTGGTCAAACGGGATGTGTAATATCATCATCATCATCATCATCAACATCATCATCATCATCATCATCATCATC